GCACACATGACACATAAAGCATAATGAATAGTATGATTAGCAATCCCATATTTCTTGAATAACACTTCTTCACAGCTTTTGACAGACCACAAAAAAACCCTTTTTCAGTCTCATTCTTCATTTTCAATCCTTACCCACCCAACCTCTCCCTTTAAAGCAATCTCTCTCTCACTCTCAATTTAAACAAACTTTTTGTAACCTAAAAAACATTTCCAATCTCTTATTGGATTAATTCAAAGAATTATGTTTTAGTTACCATGTAATAATCTTCACACTAGTAAGAGAATCTTACTCTTCACCAAACTACATCTCTCTCTATATAACAAACCCCAAAAACTCTCAAACACACACACAAAGCAAAAAACAACAACAATGGCTACTTCAAGATCATTCATTTTCTCTAATCTCTTCGTTTTCTTCCTTGTTATGGCTACAACTCATGGTCAGGCTCCAGCTCCAACACCTTCAGGTCCAACAAACATAACCGCGATCTTAGAAAAAGCTGGTCAATACACATTGTTCATAAGACTTCTCAAAAGCACTCAAGCTTCAGACCAAATCAACACTCAGCTCAATTCATCTTCAAGCCAAGGCTTAACCGTGTTTGCCCCGACCGATAACGCCTTTAGCAGCCTCAAATCCGGTACCTTAAACTCGTTATCCGATCAGCAAAAGGTTCAGCTTGTACAGTTCCATGTTCTTCCTACACTCTTGACTATGCCTCAGTTTCAAACCGTTAGTAACCCCTTACGCACGCAAGCTGGTGATGGGCAAAACGGTAAATTCCCTCTTAACATCACTAGCTCCGGTAACCAAGTCAATATCACCACCGGAGTTGTGAGCGCCACCGTGGCTAACTCTGTCTATAGCGATAAGCAGCTCGCGGTTTATCAAGTCGATCAAGTTTTGCTACCATTAGCATTGTTTGGTTCAAGCTCAGCTCCTGCTCCAGCCCCTGAGAAAGGCGGCTCGGTTTCAAAAGGTTCAGCTTCCGGTGGTGGCGACGATGGAGGAGATTCTACTGACTCATCTGATGCAGAGAGAATCGGATCCGGGTTTGGGATCAGAATCGGCATTGTTGCCACCATTGCTGCTTCTTCTCTATGGATATAAAATCAAGAGAGCACTGGAATTTTAAGAATAACGATGAGAGCTTTAAATTTTGTTGTACTATGAGATTGTTTTATAGATTGTGTTATATTATGTTATTGTTTTGATTCGAAATGAGACAACATTATGTTTACGATTGCACAAAACTTTTTGATAAAAGAAAGCAAAATGTGTTTTTGGAGTATAATTTGAAACGTTGTCTTTTAAGTTACATGATTCCTCTTCATGTTCAAGTTAGAAACCGAAACCGCCAAAACCCCCACCACCACCGGGAAAACCGCCCTCGAAATGGAAAGTGTAC